CCGCTCCGCGCGCAGCCGCGGCGGCGACGGCGGATGTTTACGGACGAGCAGACCGCGGCCTCGGCGGCGGAGCGCGGAGTCCGGAAGCGCCAGACCGCTCCCGCGGCGGCTTGTCTCGCGGCCCGCCGAGCTTAGAGGTAGAGCCGCCCCACCTCGGGCCTGGCCTGCGGCGAGCGGGCGGTGTCTCCCCTTCACCGCCTTCTCGATCTCCGCGTCTCGGTTCCCCCCGTCTCCAACCCCTGGGGGGCGTCTCCCCCACCTCGGCCCCCTCCCCGGGCGCATTTGCCCCCCCCCCACTTCAGCCTCCCCCACCTCAACCTTCTCGCCCTCACCCCGGGGGCGTCGCCCCCACCTCGGCCCCCTCCTCACTTCGGCCTCCCACCCCGGTGGGGTGTTGCATTTTCTGGACCCCCTGGAGCAGGACCGTTCTCTGCGTTCCCAGCGCGCGTCCAGGAGTCCCCGTCGCCCCTCCGTGCCCGTTGCTTGCACCTTTGGGTTACTCGCTCTCCCGGCGGACGGCTGTCCCGACCTTCGGTTAGGCAGTGTTTGTAGGAGTTTTAAGGCAAGTCAGGAGTTGACGTGTTTAAAACAAATCCTACCTTGGACTTTTTCAGAAGATGGCAGAGTCCCAGGTCTTGGAGGTACTCAGGGTTGGAGCAGATTATAAAAGATCTTAAATAGTCGGGGGTGGGGGGGCGGTGAACTCACCTGGGCTTTTGCTTTGTTTTTGTGTGGGGAGATGGGGGAGCCCCTCAAATTGATGTTTGTTCCAGTGTTGCACCTCAAAAAGGCAGTCTAAGTATCACCCTCCCCCATGTGCCTTTCTTCTCAGCAGAGTGATGGTTAAAGTAAACAGCTCCATTCTGGGTTTACAGTAGAATGCCATCCGGGAACTAGTGAAGTCCAGATTTCTCTAAAACAAATTGTTGTGGTTGTGCTCAGGGGAAACAGAGGCATAGACTTGGAGGTAATGGGGTCCTGCTCCTCAGGCCAGTCCCCCTGCCCGAGGCCCATGCTCTGCCCAGACTTGGACAAGGGACATGGCCTGGGTGTAGGACCCTGCACCCTGAGAAAGAGCTCATTTCATTATTTGCACTTTATTGTTAAAAGATCTTTGCATTTAGTAGAAATTGTCTCCATCTAACTGCATCCCATTGGTTTTGCTCTCCCAGGAATAGTAGGTCCGTGGGACCTCCTGCGAGCCTTTCAAGTGTCTGGAAAAAACCGGTGTGATTCCTTGTAAGAGTTCTGGTTTCCAAGGTTAGAAGCCAGAGTTTCTCCCATCATCCTGCCTACCAAGGCTCCTTTTCTGCTGGGCCTGTTTTAAGAAGTGACACCCAGATTGGACTGTGGTCTTCCTTGTGCATTCTGACAAACCTGTCACTCCCTCCACCCCCGTGTGGGCTTCTAGCTTGTGCTGACACAGATTCGCTGTCTCCCCACACCCTGCAGTTGTGAGGCCTTCCTCTTTTGCTGCTCTGCCCTTGGTGCTGTGAGCAAGGTTGTGGCACTGGGCTGTGGCCAGTTCATACAGGGTAGTGAATTATAGTAAGATTTGTGAAGTCCAATGCATGTTCAAAAACCAAATGCAGGTTCACCACTGTTACTTTGACTGTACTCTGGAGTCTAGGTGGAAGTAACAGGATTTGGTTTGGCAGGGACGTCTTTGGGTCTGCTGTTGGTGGCGTTTTGGTGCCCTTGTCACCAGTCCCGTCCGTGGTCAGTGATGGGGGTTCATCACGTGCTCGTTGGCACCCCACCAGTGGCAGTGGATGGGGTTACCCTGTAGTCACCGCGCCTGTCATTGTAGAATAAACAAAGATTGCCCACATGTTTTTTGCTCACTGGAGAACTTTTAAGCTGCATTTTGCTGTGGTGTAAAGAACACAGGCTTTTGGCCAGACAGTCCTGGGTGTGAATTCCATCCCCTCCTCCTGGCTGTGTGACCATGAGCAGAGTAACCTCTTGGCCCCGGTTTGCCTCATGATGCCGTAGCCTAAGTGAGGTCATGACTCGCAGGTAAACCAGTTGCTGTGGAGTTGATTCTAACTCATGGTGAGCTCATCTGTCCCAGGATAGAACTGTGCTCTGTAGGGTTTTCAATGACTGTGATCCTTCCTACTAGATTGCCAGGCTTTTCTTCCTAGGTACCTCTGGGCGGGTTCGAACTGCTAACCTTTCGGTTAGTAGCTGAGCACTTAACTGTTTGTGCCACCAAAGCTAGCTAGCCCTTGGGTATGTGATGAGCTTCCAAAGTGAGGAAAAATCCCAAATAAGTAGTAGATACTTAGAAAATGATACATGCCCAATATTTGGTTTGTTTTGATTTTGTAGATAGAAGGATGGTATCGAGGTAGAATGGTACAACATTGTGTATAGGCTTCTGGGTGACCCAACATTTTTTTAATAGGATAGGTGATTTTAGGTCTTTTCCCAAATAGACCCTTAAATATCCAAACTCATGACTCCGCTTCTAAGCAGTGACCCACATTTTACATGACTGTCCTAGGCTAGCGTGTAGTCTTTAGCTCAGGACTCAGTGGCTTATTCAGATTAAACTTGGCCTCATTAGTACCTGTCCAGCTATGTTAACTGGCCGTGGACTATAATATAATAAGGGCTCTGAAACTGTTTAAAAAGGGGGAAAGAAATCAGTCATTGACCATGGTAGTGATCTGAAAAGCCTAGTATTCAGCTCTAAAGTCTTGATTATGAGGGTTGACAGTAACTGATATCCTGACCGTAAAATGGAAAGAGCATTGCGTTACGCCACGCCCTTCAGACATTTTTTTAACCTGTTTTAAAAGGCAGACGGTTCATCCTGGTGCATTCCTGGGACAAGATCTCACACCATAATTGCCATTTGTGAGTGTGTGTGTGTGTGTGTGTGTGTGTGTGAGAGAGACTGTAAGAGTAGTGTATCTCTCCTGCCCCCAGTATTTCTTTATGTTTCTAATTCTGCCATTGGAAATCCAGAGGATTGTGAGGGGAAACAAGTATAAACTTAGTGTGTGAAGCCTGATTCAGAGAACGGGTCAGTGTTGATGAGTTCTGACACGACCATTTTATTCAGGTAAAGCTACTCCTGGGGCAGGTGTAGTATTGGAGAGGTTATTTCTGTAGTTGTGGGAGGAGTTTCCCTGTGGAATGGAAGAAGAGACACTGCGTTTAAGTAGTTGGGCTCAGAGTGGAGCCAAGTGCTGTGCTTTTTCTTCCTGAGGGCAGTTTGGAAGAAGATGAGAAATGGGCCTTTGTTTTGGAAGAGCTGGGAAGGTTACACGGTGCACATTTCAAAAGTGGGTGTAGGAAGTTCTAGTGGCAGCTTCTCCTGCTCCTAAGATTTAGCCTTGAAACAAGAAGGTACTTGTCACAAAACGTTCTATTTGGGAAGACAGTTTTGTTGATGTTGCCTTTGCCTAAAATTTTATTGTCACAACACACGTATCACCATATTGAGTGGATTACTTGATTTCGGTGAGTATGTGTATCGGGGGTGTAGGGTTGCCAGATAAAATATAGGACACCAATTAAATTTGAATTTCAGATAAACAGCAAATAATTTTTTAGTATTTGTTGTTAAGCTGAATTTCAGATTTAACTGAAAGGCTTTTTCCCCTGCTAAATCTGGTATCCTTAGGGAATGGAGTGGGCGGGCGTTGACAAAAGATACTCCACTGCTGTTATTTTCAGAATCAGAATTTGGAATTAGTATATGTTGTTCTGTGTCTGCCCTTGGACGTAATTGCCTCTTTTCATCCTAGTGCTCCCTGGTGCTGCCCTGAGGATGGGAGGTGCCGTGAGTGCCGGGGAGGACAACGACGAGCTCATCGACAACCTGAAGGAGGCCCAGTACATCCGCACTGAGCTGGTGGAGCAGGCTTTCCGTGCTATCGATCGCGCAGACTATTATCTTGAGGAGTTTAAGGAAAACGCTTACAAGGATCTGGCGTGGAAGCATGGGAACATCCACCTTTCTGCCCCGTGCATCTACTCGGAGGTGATGGAAGCCCTGGACCTGCAGCCTGGACTCTCGTTCCTGAACCTGGGCAGTGGCACTGGCTACCTCAGCTCCATGGTTGGGCTCATTCTAGGTAAATCTGGAAGGAGGACTGGAGGCCCTGCTGGGAAGCACCGTGTGGGCACAGCACAGGGCTTGATCTCCTTCCTAGAAAAGGTGTGGTTGGTTACTGTGTGTCCTGTGTGAGTGGGGACCAGACCCTCCTGTCCCGGCCTCTGCAGGAGTCACTCAGCGCTGTTCACACGTGCTGCCTGGGTGGTGGGAAGGCCACATTCACGTTTTCTAGAAGGACTTACTCTCTCTCCTCCCTTTCCCACACCTCTCCTGTTCCCTGCCGTGCACAGCCCACAGGTAACTCAGCACGCCCTCCTCCTGCGAGGTGACGGGCCCTGTGTGGCCTCACCACGCCCTCCATCCAGGTTAATCCCTGGGCCTGCCTCCTCACTCCATCTCAGTGCTGAGAGAATGGGAGTCGGAGTTCTTCTGTGCAGTTTTTGTTTGTTTTGTTACTAAAATAGAATAATAACTATGTTACTTATTTTTAAATAGATTTCAAGGATGAAGGGGGTTTCCAAGGTTATCTTGTTTGAAGCCGTTTAGCCTACTTTCCTAAATAAGTTGTGACAGTGTACATGGGGATGTGGTCGTTTTTAATCGTAATAAAGGCAGCGTCAGGTAACTAAGAACCTGTTGAGTTCCCATTTCGTGTTCAGCGCTCTAGTTGGGAAAGGCGTTGGTGCTGATAGGAGTGACGGGTGCTGGCTGTGCCCTGTCAGCTCCCTGCAGAGAGGAGGCGGGCACTGAGGCTGCGCCACACGAGAGTTGCTTAGGCCAGAGGCAGAGGTGCTACAGCTGGTGTGCACTGGCTGAAGTCTGTGCATTTTTTTAAATAATTTTGTTTTATTTTTGTTGAGAATATATACGGCAAAACATACGCCCATTTAACAGTTTCTACATGTACCATTCAGTGACATTGATCACATTCTTTGAATTGTGGAACCATTCTCACCCTCCTCTTCTGAGTTGTTCCTTCCCCATTAACATAAATTCACTGTCCCCTAAGGCTCCTGTCTGATCTTTTGAGTTGCTGTTGTTAGTTTGATCCCATGTAGATAGTTTTTAAAAGAGCGTAATGCTCAAGGCAGACTTTTTACTAGTTAAGCTGAATTATTGTTTGCTTTTAAGAAGACTTCAGAGGGGACGTTTTTGGTTTAAGGTTTAAAGATCGTCTCAGGGAAATAGTTTACTGGTTCATCCAATCTGCGTGGCTCCAGGATGTCTGGAGTCCATGAGAATTTGAAATTCTGTTCTGCATTTTCCCCCTTTTGATCAGGATTCTTCTATGGAATCTTTGATCAAAATGCTCGGTAATGGTAGCTGGGCACCATCCAGTTCTTCTGGACTCATGGCAAAGGAGGCAGTTGTTCGTGGAGGCAATTAGCCACATATTCTATATCCTCTTCCTATTCCTGACTCTCCCTCTTCCTCTCTTGTTCCAGGCAAATAGACCAATTGTTATGCCTTGGATGGCCGTTTGCAAGCTTTTAAGACCCCAGAACTATGCAACAGACTAGGAGGTAGAACAGAAGCATTAAATGTGTTATTAGGCCAGTTAACTGGGATGTCCCATGAAACCATAACCCTAAACATCCAATCCAGGAAACCAAATCCCATGAGGTTTTTGGTTGTACATAAGCAGCCTCAGCAGCTACTCCTTTTTTGTTTTTTGTCGCTGTAAATACATCTGTCACACAACTTTCCCAGTTAAACTTCTTACAAGTGTACAGCTTACTGACAGCAACCACAATAATCAGCTATTCAACCCTACTCTTAATCAATGCAATGTTTCCATCGCTGTTAGCGCCCACTTTCCCCCTCCCTCCCATCCCTGGTAACCACTAATAAACGCTGTTATCTATACATTTGCCTTTTCTTGTCTTTTTATATAAGTGATTTCATATAATATTTGTCCTTTTGTGGTTGGTTTATTTTGCTCAACATAATGTCTTCTAGCACCATCCGTATTGTAGCATATATCAAGACTTCATTTCTCCTGTTGGCTGAGTAAGTATTCCATTGTATATATGGACCGTGTTTTGTTTATCCATTCATTTGCTGATGGGCATTTAGGTTGTTTCCACCTTCTGGCTATTGTGAATAGTGTTGCAGTGAACATTGATGTACAGATCTCTGTTTGAGTCTCTGCTTTCTAGTCTTTTGGGTGTATACCTGGAAGTGAAATTGCTAGGTCATATGGTAGTTCTATTTTTAGTTTTTTTGAGGAACCGCCACACTGTTTTCCACAATGGCTGTACTATGTTGCATTCCCACCAGCAATGGGTAAGGGTTCCAGTTTCCCCACATCCTTGCCAATATTCGTTTTCTTCTTCTTTTTTTTTAATCTTAGCCATCCTACTAGGAGTGAAAGGGTATCTCATTATGGTTTTGATTTGCGTTTCTGATGGCTAATGATGCTGAGCGTCTTTTCATGTATTTGGTGGCCATTTGTATGTCCTCTTCGGTGAAACGTCTGTTCGAGTCATTTGCCCATTGTATGATTGGGTTATCTGTCTTTTTGTTGTTGTCAGAGTTTTATGTCTAATTTGGTTATTGGATTCTTGTCGGATATATGGTTTCTGAAGATATTCTCTCAGACGGTAGCTTGTCTTTTCACTTTTTTGGTAAAGTCTCTTGATGAACAGAAGTTTATAATTTTTATGAAGTCCCATTTATTTATTTTGTCTTTTGCTCTTTGTGCTTTTGTTGTTAGGTAATCCATTGACAGCATTGCCCCTGCTTTTTCTTCTAAGAATTTTATGGTTTTAGTGTGCACATTTAAGTCCCTAATCCATTTTTAATTTGTTTTTGTGTATGGTGTGAGGCATGTATCCTGTTTCTTTTTTCTGCATGTGGAAATCCAGTTTTCCCAGCACCATGTATTGAAGACACTTCTTTCTCCATTGAATGGACTTAGCACCCTTGTCAAAAATCAGTTGACCACAGACTCTAAATTCTGTTCCACTGGTCTATGTGTCAGTTATTTTATGAGTACCAGGCTGTTTTGATTACTGCAGCAGTGTAGTATGTTTTAAAATCAAAAGTGTGAGTCCTCCTACTTTGTTCTTCTCTTTTAGCATTGCTTTAGCTATTCATGGCCTCGTGCCATTCCATATAAAATTGAAGATTTGTTTTCTATTTCTATAAAGAAGGCCGTTGGAATTTTGATTGGAATTGTGTTGATCTGTAGATTGCTTTGGTTAGTATTGATCTCTTGACAATATGAAGTCTTCAATACCTGAACATGGAACATCTTTCCATCTATTTAAGGCTTCTGTAATCCCTGTCAGTAGTGTCTTATAATTTTCACTGTATAAGTCCTTCACCTCCCTGATTAGATTTATTCCTAGGTATTTTATTCTCTTAGATGCTCTTGTAAATGGAATTGTTTCCCTAATTTCCTTTTCAGATTGCTCATTGCTGGTGTATAGAGAAACCCAACTGATTTTTGTTTGTTGACCTTGTACCCTGCAACTTTGCTAAGTGGCTCTGTTAGCGTTGAAAGTTTTCTTGTGGACTCTTCAGGATTTTCTGTATGTTGTTGTCAGCTTCCGTCGAGCTGACTGACTCAGCAACCCCGCGAACAACAGAATGAAACACTGCCCAGTCCTGTGCGATCCTCACAGTCATTGCTGTGTTTGAGCCTATTGTTGCGGCCACTGTGTCAGTCCATCTCGTTGAGGGTCTTCCTCTTTTTTGCTGACCCTTTATGTTACCATGCATGATGTCCTTCTCCAGGGACTGTTCCCTCCTGACAGCATGTCCAAACCATATGAGACGAAGTCTCGCCATCGTTGCTCCTAAAGAGCACCCTGGCTGTACTTCTTCCAAGACAGATTTGTTCATTCTTCTGGCAGTCAGTGGTATATTCAGTATTCTTTGCCAACACCATAATTCGAAGACGTCAGTTCTTCTTCAGTTTTCCTTATTCGTTGTCCAGCTTTCATATGAGGCGATTGAAAGCACCATGGCTTGGGTCAGGCGCACCTTAGTCCTTAAAGTGACATCTTTGCTTTTTGACGCTTTAAAGAGATCTCTTGCAGCAGATTTGCCCAGTGCAGTGGGTCATCGCATTTCTTAACTGCTGCTTCTGTGGGCATTGATTGTGGATCCAAGTAAAATGAAATCCTTGACAACGGCAATATTTTCTCTGTTTATCTTGATGTTTTTTATATATCCAGTTGTGAGGATTTTGGTTTTCTTTATGTTGAAGTGTAGTCCATAATGAAGGCTGTGGTCTTTGATCTTCATCAGTAAGTACTTAAAGTCCTCTTCACTTTCAGTCAGGAATGTTGTCATCTGCATATCCTCCAATCCTGATGCTTCATTGTTCTTCATATAGTCCAATTTCTCAGATTATTTGCTCAGCATACAGATTGAATAAGTATGATGAAGGATACAACCCTGACGCATGCCTTTCCTGAGTTTAAACCATGCAGTAAACCCTTGTTCTGTTTAAATGACTGCGTCTTGGTCTAAGTACAGGTTCATCATGGGTATGATTAAGTGTTCTGGAATTCCCATTCTTTGCATTGTTGTCTATAATTTGTTATGATTTACACAGTCGGATGCCTTTGCGTAGTCAGTAAAACACAGGTAAACGTCTTTCTTGTATTCTCTGCTTTCAGCCAGGGTGCATCTGACATCAGCAGTGATATCCCTTGTTCCACATCCTCTTCTGAATCTGGCTTGAATTTCTGACAGTTCCCTGTCAATGTACTGTTGCAACCACTTTTGAATGATCCTCAGCAAAATTTTCTATATATAGGATCATATCATCCTCAAATAGAGCTAGTTTTACTTCTTCTTTTCCAATCTGGATACGTTTTATTTCTTTTTCTGTCTCATTGCTCTGGCTAGGACTTTTTTTTTGACTGCCCAAACTAGAATGTATTTACTTTTGGTGGCAATGTACACAGCCAAACACATCTATTCACAGGTTCGACACGAACAGCTCAATAGCGTGGATCACATGCTTCCCATTGTGGCACCGTTCCATCTCTGCCCCTTGAAGTTCTCATCTGTGCTGTATTTATTCATTATTGTGCTCAGGTGACAGTTCATGGAGGGAGTTAGCTTCCTGGTCAGTAGTTTGTGTATAAAATGTTCCGTGACGTTGATTGCGTTCTCCAGTGTGTCAGCGCTCTCCCCGTTTCCGCCCTGCGGTCTTTGTTTCTTTCCCGCCAGATTTTCTGCCCCTTCCTGCCTTCTCATCTTTGCTTTTGGGTAAATACTATCTTTTTTATCTCGTATAATTGATCGTTCCAAGGAATGCGTTCTCTTGGGTGTTATTGTTTCTTTTATGGGCCTGTCTGTTGTTTAGCTGAAAGGTGATCTCTTGGGAATGGCTTCAGTTCCAGATCAGAATGGTGTCTTAGGTCCGTAGTCTCAGGGATTCCTTCGGCTGGGACTTCTGATACAATATTGAATTGAAGTGGTAAAAGTGGGCAACCTTCCTCCCAGTGTGGGGGTTGCTGCCACAGTTGTTCAGGTCTCAGCGGTTCCAGCCTCAGCCCTGTGCCAGGAATCTCCAGCCATGAGAAGCCCCCTTGTTCGGGGTCCACAGCACTTGTAGTGTACCCCCTGCCTGCTGGTCACTTTTTTGAGGGGGCAGGTAGGCACATGGGTTATTCTCGGTTTTGGTTTTAAACGTCTTGGGAGTAGGAACCACGTCCCATATCTATTGCGTCTGTTATTGGAATTACTTACTGTGTGATTGTGAAGGTGAAGTGTGGATGAGAATATTATGAGTGCAAACAGCAAGCAGATATCCTTGGTCTTGCCAGAATAATGGGAGAGACAGGCGTGTGAGAAGGCGCTGGGAGTGAGGCACAGGCGGCGGGCGTGCTGCAGAGTCTCGGCCAGGGCTGCTTATCCAGAAAGAGGCTGGGTGCTCGGTGCAGAGTGCAGAGGGTCTGCCCTGTGCAGAGGGTGGCCTGTTTGCCAGTGTTCCCGCTGGACTGTGGGCGAGTGCCACACTGCGAATTCATGGGGACGCCTTACTGAAGTCCCCCTGCATGTCCCACTGGTTTTCACAGCAGATTTTTCTGATGGAGGCATAATGTACGTGGAGGTGTAGAGTGTACAAGTATTAGAGCTTGGTGAGTTTTTGTACCTCTACCCTGGGAGCACCAGCTGGGCCAAGGTACCAAGTGTGAGCAGCCCCTGAGTGTGTCTCTTGCCTCCTCCTGTAACTAGAACCCCTGCCTCACCTGGAGACCACTGCCCGGTCTCATTTGCAAATACACGTTAGTGCAATTTATTAGTAAGATTCCAAAGGCTTGTGTTTCAGACCTAGGCTTGGTTCCATTTTAAAATGATTCTTTAAAGTTGGAGAGCAGGGTGACCTGGCTCCAGAAGACCTGCCAGCCTTTAGCTGTGGAATCAATCAGCAGTATCATGGAACGATGTCTTTACAGTGTGTGAGTGGTCTGCCCCACATACTGGAGAGATTGGTAGAGAATTTAGGCCCAGCGATGTGTTCACGACTTGAGACCTCGTGGATTTCTGTAATTATACATGCCACATTGGTGCTTTGCAGCTAATAAAACAGAAGTAAACACTCAGGAAGAGCCCTTGCCCTAGCTCTAAGTGTTCCTGTTTGTAAACCTTTAGGTCCTTTTGGTGTCAACCATGGGGTGGAGCTTCACTCCGATGTGATCGAGTACGCGAGGCAGAAGCTGGACTTCTTTATCAAGACCAGTGACAGCTTTGACAAGTAAGAGGCAGGGCTGTTCACCTGTCAAAGGATGTGACTGCCATTTAATGGGCTTTCGATCAGATGTGCAGAAGTGGTGCAGCAGCGTTCACACGCCAGCAAACTCGGTGAAGCTGTGGTGCGGTGACCGTAGGGTTACGTGCCTTGTCTAATTGTTATTTTTGATAGTCTGTGTTTTTAAGGGCTTTAGGTTTTTGTAACTGTGATACCTAGGTAAAGGTAATTTTCACCAGTATAATAATAGAAGAAAACAATTTTTTGCTCACTTTACATGTTTCCGGTATAGACAAATTTATATCACCTAATTGTTTCTAAAATTAAATTGCTGTATTTATCTTTAAACAATGTATGTAACTAGCTCTTGCCATTTTCAAATAAGGCATTGAAGTTCATATTTTAGGGATTAAAATTTTTAGAGAAACTGAATCTCTTTTCCCCTCATCTTATTCATTCTGTAGTAGTTCTTGAATAAGAACAAAAACAATGATAATTGGAGATTGTTTTAAATTTGGATTATGCGTATATATTCATTTTCATAATATTTTGTTTGGGATTTCTAGGGTTCTATTTATAGCGGATAATTCTTTTTCGACATCTGGCTTTCAGCTTCTGACCTTGTAAATTAATTTTATTACATTGCTGTGGGATTTTACAATTAAAACCTAACCCATAGATAGATTTCTGTATAGACATGTTAACCCATTGCCGTTGAGTTGATTCTGACTCATAAAGACCCTGTAGCGAACCCTGCAGGACACAACAGAACTGCCCCATAGGGTTTCCAAGGCTGTAATCTTTATGGAAGCAGACTGGCACATCTTTCTCCCGCAGAGCAGCTGGTGGATTCAAACCACTGACCTTTTGGTTAACAGCTGAGCGCTTAACCCACTGTGCCACCAGTGCTACTCATAGATGTGTTACAAGGTGATAAATTTAGTTACAGAAAACATTTTTTACTTTCAGGTTTGAATTCTGTGAACCATCCTTTGTTACTGGCAATTGCCTGGAGATTTCTCCGGATTGTACTCAGTATGATCGTGTGTACTGTGGAGCTGGCGTTCAGAAAGAGCATGAAGACTACATGAAGAATCTGCTCAAGGTCGGAGGCATCCTTGTCATGCCGCTGGAAGAGAAGGTCAGAGTCCCCCCCTCACTGACACTGGGGAGCGCTGTCTGACAGGGTTTGTTCAGGCATTTGACATGCATGTATTTTCCCTTGGAACCCCTGCAACAACCTCTCCATTTCACAAATGAGAAACGGAGGCAGGGACAGGTAAGACGCTCACACAGGTCATGCAGGTAGCCCAGGTGGGCTCAGGTGCCACTCCAGGCACAGGGCCTGTGCTCTTAGCCCTCTCGCCACCTGCCTCCTCTTTTCCTTGCTCCTCTTCCTTCCTTCTCTCCTTTCCTCACTGCTCCCTCTTCTCTCTTCCACCATCTTCCTCCTCCCTGCCACAGCCAGTATTTAACTGTTCTTCTAAGTGTTTGATGCCTTGATGAGTATTTAGTAGGAAGCTTCTCCAAGCTTTGCTATTTGCTCTTGCATGTTTGTGTGCGTTTTAGATACTGTATTTCATTGAGAAAAAATAGACTGTAATAAATCATTAGATTAACAGACGTGAATGTGTGTCAGACACAAAGAACTAGGAAACGCAGAAATGATAAAAATTAAAAGATTGTGCAGTTTTGTGCTGTTTTTAAATGTTAGCATTTAATTAACTTTGTGCTAAAATATCCATTTTAGAAAATTCAGAAGATGAGAACATAAAGAAAAACTGCTCATAATCAATGCCGTAACTGCCATTAATGTATAATTCTTCCAGAACTTTCCTCTCAGTTTGTATTCCTTCTTTTTTAAAAATGTTGTTATACGTAGTGGTTTGTAACTTGTAGCATTTACTTAAAAAATCGAATACTGTTCTACATCATGAGAACATCAGGCTGAGTGTGTTTTGTCGGTTATTTCCTCTTATACAAAGGCTTTAGTGAGTACCCATAGATGTTAAACATTTTTATCCATAAATGTGTCTATAAAAGATAAGGGCTCTAGTTTGAACATCACCACAAAAAAAGCATTATCATAACCTAATAAATGAATTACTACTCCTTAACATCTTCAAGGAGCCCTGGTAGCACAGTGGTTAAGAGCTCAGGCTGCTAACCAGAAGCTCAGCAGTTCAAATCCACCAGCCACTCCTTGGAAACCCTATGGGGCAGTTCTGCTCTATCCTGTAGGATCTCTGTGAGTTGGAATTGACTTGATGGCAACGGGTTTGATTTGGGTTTTGATTAGTATCTTCAAATATTCAGCTAGTGTTCAAATTTTCCTGATTGTCTCATAAAATTTTTTCAATAGTTTGTTCAAGCGAGAATCCGTTTAAAATTCATATATTACATTTGGTTACTATGTATCTTAAGTGTTTTTTAATCTATAGGTTCTCCTTCCTTCTTTTTCGTTTTTTCCTTGAAACTTACTAGTTGAAGAAATCAGCTCATTTGTCTTATGAAGTCACCCTCCAAGCTGGCAGCGGGACCCAGAGGCTCAGTTAGATCCAGGTTTTGTTTTTTTATTTTTTCAAGAATACTTTTTTGGTGGGGAAGTGTCCTTCCCGGCTGAGGCCCCTTTTTCTGCTCCGTTCGTCCATCGGGGGCCCCAGAATAGAGCATCATCGTTCTCGTATTGTCACCGTGTCACTGGCATAGCCTGTACGGAAGAGGCGAGACAAATGCCACCCTTCACCTGTGTCTGTCAGCTCTCTGCCAAAGGTGGCGACCGACGGGGTGTGTTTGTCTGTGTTGTAGTATCATTATGAATTCATGGATTGAAACATACCTGCTGTCTCAGTCGCTGCAGTATTCTTCCTGAAGCTGAAATCGTTCCGTCTTTGGCCAGTGGAAGCCTCTTCAGGTTGGATCTTGGGTCGTTTGATATGGCCTCAGTGTCTTAATAGCTTTGTTTCTTTCTGGTAAGAAAAGATGTCCCCGACTCAGTTTATATGTTTTTTTTACCACAGACTTGGAATTAACCATTTCTCTGAGGACACCTGTTCCATTGTAATGGAAACTGGTTTTTAGAAATCACACTTGGGGCATTAGGAGTAGGTACTCATTGCTGCAGGGTTAGTCTCTCTCTTTTTTTTAAATTTTTTTTTAGCCTTTTCTGTGGACCTCTAGAGCCAGGAAGCGCGCGCGCACACACACACACACACACTCACACATCCCCGTACACATGCCACACACACACATCCTCCATACACACGCCACACACACACACACACACACCCCCCACATATCCCTCACACACTCACACATCCCCGTACACATGCCACACACACATCCCACACACATCCCACACGCACCCACAATACCCCCGACACACACCACACACATCCCACACACACCCACAGTACCCCCTACACACACCACACGCATCCCACACACATCCCACACACACCCACAATACCCCGTACACACACCACACACATCCCACACACAGTCACACATCCCCCCTACACACACCACATACATCCCACACTCACTCACACATCCCCCCTACACACACCACACACACCTACACATCCCCCTACACACACCACACACACATCCCACACTCACACATAACCCCTAAACACACCACACATCCCACACGCACCCACACATCCCCCCTACACACACCACACATTCCAGACTCATACATAATCCCTACACACACCACACACATCCCACACACACTTGGACATGCACCCCTACACACACCACACACATCCCCTACATCCTGCCTACACACACCACACACATCCCCCGCACACACACACGCATGCACGTGTGCGTGTGTGCACACATGAACACACACTTTTTTGAAAAGATAAAATGCACCATGAATTGGTGCTGGTACTTCCAATTCCGAACTGGGCCTGGGGGTTTCTAATCGCCTCTTCAGGCTCACGTCAGTATCTCCCTTCTGTCACATGGTGAGTTCTGGTGCCGGCCGCTGCTGCTTACTGTTCGTTCCGTAATGGACAGCATCACCAGCAATCTGGTTACTGAAAAGAGTTCAATTTTTATGGAGTTTTTTTTTGCGTTTTTAGTCCTTGCACTCCACTAGGGATGTTCAGATCACTATGTTTAAAGTCAGAAAGAGCATGAAATAATACTTCTCTGGAGGTTACACCACCAACCAGATACATAGTCTATTTTCTTTCAGTTTTTAGGGATTGCCATTTTAAGACTAACTGCATTTGATAACCGTGTAAAGCGTTTACAAGGCTCCAAAGTCAAAACAAGGGATACTCAGAGTGTTTCTCCATTCATCTCCTCCACTCTGCTCCCTTCACCTCTGGTTTACCGTTTTTGGGTTTTATTTTTAGTTTTTCTTTTTTTTTTAGAAACTATACAAGCAAACACATCTCTTCATAACTTGTTCAGTGAGCGGCTGCACCTTATTTCCACTCACTGCCTGTCTGGATGTATTAAAGAAGGGCATATCGCTTTCTTTTAGGTTTAATGCATCGTTTATTGTTTATTTCTAACTAGTTGATGTTCGTTTTAACTACCAAATCCTTTCTTTTCTCCTTTGCTTATTTTTAACAGTCTTTTGTTGGTGTATAAGAACGTGATTTGTTGAGGGACGTTTGTGCTCCTCCTGGTTTTTTGCCGTTAGAGTTGTGCCGCCACGAAGGGCCTGTGCACCTGTTGTGGTCGTTCTCGTGTCTTACTTTCTGCCTGCTTCCCGGATCTCCTCCAGCCACAGACTCACAAGTGCTCGTGCCCTGTCAGAGGCCCTGCGTTTTAGAAAGTCTTGTCAGCTGCCCTTCCAAAGTCAGTATGCTCAGCAGCGTGAAAGGAAAGTACTGGTCCCCAAACATGGGCTTGCTGCATGGTGCCGGCACCATTAGCAGTGGGGATACCCCGTCACAGTGGCTGCTGTTGGCTGCCCCGTCTCGCCACCGCTCTCTTTACTAGGCCGTTGCACACGATGGGCTACGGCCCACGTCTTTGCTCTTCATTTGTAGAACGTTGTTTTAAAGATGTCTTTGTTTTATACAAATGATATTAGACATCTTGTATTGCAAAAATGTGTTGGGCTTTTGATTGGAATTGTGTTACATCTAGATTAATCGGAGGATTGCAGACATCTTTACAATATTTATTCTGCTCATCCAGAAATATGAAATCAGGGTTTATAGTTCTCTTTCTTTAAGGTTTCATACATCACTGATTGTATTTAAATGATTGGGGCTCATTATAACTAGAAATTCTCTACTTTAAAAATGTTTTTGCTGGTATACATGAATGTGAATAATTTCTTGATGGTTGTCTAGTGTGTGGCTACTTTATTTAATCCCTTTAGTTCTCATATTCAGCACATAGAATCTTAGTTTTTAGAGGATTTGCTGCTTAGCCATTTTTAGACAAGATTAGCATGTACTCTTTGCGTGACAGAGCTGACCAGAAATAGCACTGGGACCTGTTGGGCACTTGGCAGCTGTGCAGGTCACACAGGACCATGTGGTCAGCAGCGTGCTGGTCTGATTGGGCTCCTCTGGTGCTTCTGATACTCACCTGTGCTGCAGGCTGTTGCCGTGGGTGTCATAGGAAGTCTGTTACACTCTTGAGATAGTGCCTCCCGGGGGTGGATGGTCTCCCATATATTCAGGGTACCAGGTTCACATTTAGGGACCTTATCAAGGGTTCTGTAACAGTGTCTTCTATCCAGTTGCAGCGAGAATGTTTTTTATAGTCCCCTCCAGAAAACAAGCAGAACCCAGCCCAGGATTCCGTATGAATTCAAGCAGTCAGTTGGCTGTAGTGGCTTTTACTTTAGAACAGCCCCTCCCCGCTGCCTTTTCCCCTGGCAGTGACCTTCTCAGTGACCTTTTCGGAGACCCCAGGATCTTGTGAGAACCCCTGCTCACAGATATACCTAATGGTTTCTTCTTTCCTCCTCTGCCTTGCTTCTCTACCACATGTATCTCCAGTAACCTTGTTAGGTCTGGAGGCGTGAGTGTTTGGGGTGAACATTTCTGCAATAATATTCCACTATCTTGTATCAGTGTTTTTAAGGATTATGTATAGGAATGATTATATTTACTTGTTAGCTATCTAGTAGCCACATCTTTTCAATATTTTCATTTTATCTTTGGGATAGTTGACAAAGATAACGCGTACTGGTCCTTCTGCTTGGGAAACCAAAAAGATTCTGGCTGTTTCTTTTGCTCCTCTGATCCAGCCCTGTCCCTCAGAGTCAGGAAGATCACGCCCTGTCCAGCTGCGTAAGTACAAAGATTTGTGCTGATTTTGTCTTTTAGATCTTCTTAATTTCAGTAGAATTGGAAGGAAAACAAAGTTTACAAGGAACTTTTAGTATTAATCAGTGTTTTCTCCCCCCACTGAAACCTTCACACATCACCAGGGATTTTTAGGCAAGTAAACAGTTATAATCTATCTCTAGCCTGCCTTAGGTTATGTTGTCCTTCTGAGTCTCAGAGCTGTTGCTCTTCGTGCCTTTGCAAGCAAAAGACCCCCATAACGGGGAGCTAGATGGTTCACCTCTCTGGAGAGGCATTCAGAGAGTTCCAGGCATGACTGAGCACAGAGCTCCACAGAGCCCTCAGGGCTTTCGGGGCCCACGTTCTGGGAGACTGATGGTGTGTAGGGTGCAAGACCCCTTTCCCTTCCACAGCAGCCGGGGGTTTTAGGGACTCACTTTTCCCATTTGCTCCCTCACGGCCAGCAGGCATCCTAGTTTTATAATTTAAACAAAAATTCACACGGCAATGAGAATTCCAGTAGGTTTTACTTAAAATAAAACTGTTGGGTTTATACTCTGATTTTTTATCCTTTAGGAAATTAGGAAAATGCAAAAAAAAAATTAGGGAGAGAAACAGTTACGCATAGTCCCACCACCAGGACAGCTGTTGTGAACATTCTGGTGGATTCCTTCCAGAACTGTTGTTTGGCTGTTCTGAATAGTTCCACTTTGCTTTGGTCTCTGTGAGCCCAGGCCACGGCACGTAGACCAGGACAACAGTGGCACATGCCGAGGGGCTCGGGTCAGGGGCCTGACTTGTGCTTGGCTCTCAAGGGTGACAAGGAATTCCCTAAAGAGGGAAGAAAGGGGGCCCACCTGGTGGAAGGGCAGCCTCAGCAGAGATGTGGAGACTTCTGGAGGCACCTGCTGACGAGGTGCGGAGGGCCTGAGGGAAATCACACGTTACCGGAGGTCAGAGTTGAGCTTGTCACGTTGGCTGTGGAGAGCCACATCTGTGCTTTGGATAACCTGGTGGTTGGGGGAGGGTGAATTTGTCAAAGGCATGCTCCCTGAAAATCCCAGCAGAATGACCGGAATCTACTCAATGACAGCCAGTAACAGCAAGAAGCTAAGTTGTGCTTTTTGCTGCCAGCACCTCGGCAGAATGTAGGAGGTGAGGGCGCAGGCAGGGTGCATAGTGGCTTCTCAGGGTGCCTGGCTTCAGGCACGTCTTCTGGTGCGAGGGCTGCATGAGGACCAGGGTGGGCTCTTGATGTGGTGTGGACACGGCGCGAGGCAGGTTTCGAGGTAAGTCTTCGATCATGAACGATCGCTTGATGGTATTCAGGGCCCCTGGAGTCAGCAGTAAAGTTATTTCAGCTTTAGACTTTGTGGGCCAGAGTGTCTTAGAGTAGTGAAGTCACGTTCGCGTAGACGGTGAGCTCTGCAGGGCAGGGTCTCAAAGGATGGAGGCGGAAAGGTGAGGTCAGGGATCCAGCTTGGAGGCTGCTGGTGAGAGAGAAAGATGGTGACTGAGACCTTGGCCTCTGGAGTGTAAAGGCTTTGGGAGCACACTCTGCCTTTTCCTACACGGGGAGTGTCTGTTTTCCGTGTAGCCTCCGAGTCTTGGGCAGTGGTCCAGAAAATGCCATTTGCAGCTGTGGAATGCATGGGAAAGCCAGGGCTGAGCAGGCTTATGGAGAAGGGGATGGGAGTGCTGGAGGGCCAGAGCCGCCCTGCGGTCCTGGTGGCCCGTGGGGAGGGGTCTCAGTACTGTCTTGGGGGCAGCCCCAGGTTCGGCAGTAGCTGTGGAAATCGTCTTTCTAGAAGGTGTGGTGAGGGATGGGAAAGTAGCAGATAGCGAGGGGGAAGCCAGGCAGGGTAGTTGCAGCGGGACCCCGTTCCCCGGGAAGAGGGAGGACATCTCATCCTCTGGGAGAGCTGAATGTGCCCCTTTGAGCGCTGGAGCACCAGTGGGTGGGAAGCTCCCAGGTACTGTGCAGGGTTGGGGGGTGCTGAGCTGCCCTAGGGGCCCCTCTGATGGGTGAACGCGGTCCTCTCCGTGGACCCTTCCCTGCAGGAGGCCGTGAGCTGCTGTCTTCGGCAGCGTGCACTGGGGAGAAGGAGGGTGCTGGTGTGGGCTGTGGGTGTTTGAACACGTGACCTGACTCTCCTCTGTGAAGAGCCCTGTGCAGCCGCTGTGTGTCAGGAGCTTCGGTGGTCACCAGACTGGATTTCTCCTTGGTGTGCTTTGGAGTTGTTCTCAGACAGCGTTTTGGATTTGCTTTTCTCCGCTTAAATAACAGAAGGAACAGATACTCAATTTTTAATGTACTATGAAAATATTAAAAGAGAGAATGTGAGAGACATGTATTCATTATGTTACTACTGGATGAGATGTAATACCTGAATGAATATTACAAATAGGAGAGTGAAACTAGGCTGTCAAAAAACAAAAACCTGAACCTCAGTTTTAATTCTGCCACCGATTGATTAGACGAGCAGCGTGCTTACTTTAGTTTTCACCAAAGTTAACTACTCGTGTGTTAGAAAATCAGTCTTGAAAAGTACTGTGTGAATGAATGCAGGTTAGACACTCAAGGGTGTTTGCTTACAGTGCCCTCAAGTTCTTGTGACTTGTGAGAAAGCTGTGAATGACGGAAATCTCGGGGTGTTTAGAAATCTCGGGGTGTTTAGAAATCTCGGGGTGTTTAGATGTTGAGGCTTCGTGTCCCATCGCTTATGCATGTTTGGGTCGTATCTGTCCTTGTGCCGGCAGCGCTGCTGGTGGTCCGCAGCCTCCAGGACCTGGCCCGCATTGCTATCCGGAGCACGATTAAGAAGATAATCCCTCAGGAAACAGCGAGCAAAAACGAAAATGGATTGAAGAACACTCCCAGGCTGAAACAAAGAAGAATTCGCCGCCGTCGGATGCAAACTGTAGTCTTTTTGGACAAAGAGGTCTTTGCCAGCCGAGTCTCCAACCCCTCCGATGACAACGCCTGTGAAGACTGTGACGAGGAGCAGCAGGAAGACGAAGGCAAGGCCCCATCTGAAGTGAAGCCACATGCCCCGGTGAACTTCCTACGCGAGAAAGTCCTCAGCCTCCCTCTGCCTGACCCCCTGAAGTACTACCTGCTGTACTACAGGGAGAAGTGAGCCTCCCGTGTGAGGAGGCAGAGGGAGCTGCTGCCTTCACACCGGGGTTCCTCTTCCTAGTTTGTTCTTGATTGTCCTCTAGGATGTCTTTAAAAATAATCTGACAAGCGTAAACTGCGTAGAAGTATGTTTTCTAAAGGGGAGAGCGTCTCCAGGAGGAGGGTCCGTTTCTCGCTAGTTGAAGCACCGCGCAGTGCAGGCATCGTGTGGTGCCTGCTCCACTCACGGGTACATGCGTTGATGCACTCAGAGGAGAATGGAGATTGGAAGTGTTTTGCTTAGAAAACGTGAAACAAAGCACAAGTTCGTAAGTGTATAGAATCCTTTCTGGACACCTGTGTCTAAGTTTTAATTTCATGGTATCAGCATCTTAACTACTGGCACTGAGTTTCACTAAACTTTATTTTTCTAGATGGAGGAAACATCATTGGAAACCCTTCTTTGTTTTTTGATTAAATCTTACATGATTTGTCATTTGTAATTTTTAAAATGAAAAATGGAATTGATTGGGGAAGAGGAATAAAATTCTCAAACTGCCAGTGTCTTTCTGTAATTCCAAAAGAATTCAAAGACATTTTTTTCCTGGCACCTTTTGTTATTTTAAAAGAGCCACTGTCAAGTAATCCCTGAAAGAATATACTGAAAAATGAAACAAGTTGTGTCTGTATATTCAATAAGGGAAATTACTTTTCCTCTAATGAAAGGTGTGACCCCTTATCCAACTCCTGAGATCATCATGGGTTCCTCAGGCGTTCTCAGAGTGCGGGGACTGATGTGTGGATGGCCTGTGTTTTCTTGACTTCAGTTTGCTATTTTTCTGTGACTACACTGTAGTACTGATTCATAGATTTTATAATTCTGGAGAGAAAAAAATTTGTTACTTTTGTAATTTTCTGAAGAACACATGTCTTTTAGGTGCTCCATTGCATAAGAGCAGTTTAACTTGTAGTGACTTGGGAACTAGGTTTCTTCAGGCCCTGGGTGGGTGTCAGGACGCCCTCGGGTAGCGAGTGTTCTGTCTGTATCCAATTGTGGGTGTAGAAGAAATGACAGTCCTTAGATCGGTCAGGTGTGTTGAAGTTATATTGCTTACTCCAAAACATTGGTTATTTTCAAAGCCTTTTTTTTTTTTTTTTTTTTATTTATTTTACCTCAACCATGCCTGTCTATTAAGAATAGAATGTCTATGGGCTTGAATTTCTTTTATAAACTAATGATACTGTTATGTAGCCTTAAATTTTTTTTTAATTTTTAGCCTTTTTTTTTTTTTTTTTAACCAAAAGAAAAGAATAATGTAGTGTTAACAATAAACCTAAACCCTCAGAGTGCTTGTGTGGGATTCGGCATCCAGATTTCTTGATTAACTGTAACCGTCAGCCTCTCGGGAGTCCTGGGGCTCAGCGTCTCTTTGGTTTCACCTGCTCAGCTGAGCATTGGTTCTTTTGGACTTTTTCTGTCTCTTAGTAACTGAATCATTTTCACCATGCTACCACATGCATGCATAGCAGGAAAACATGTATATCGCCTAGGTTTGTAAAGTTAGTTCAGAGAGAAGCGCGTGGTTCCCATGGGTTCACTTGCTGACACCTTGTATTTTGCAGATTCTTGTCCACACTTTGCTGCCGTGTAGAGAGCTCGGCAGCCGCGTGGACACGGCTGTATGTAATACTGAATGAGCAGTATCTGTGACATCTGTCATGCGAAGTGGCTTGACTTGATTTTCCCCTGTGATTGCGTATGGAGTGCATATATTTTTACCATGTTTGCCTTTATGCTCTATTGTAAAAACTCCATACAATGCGTAGGACTTTTCCCAGGATGTTATCTTTACATGTTGTCAATTTGTGCTTTTTTCAAACCCAGAACTTGGTTAAAAAATACATGGATGTAATTATGTGCGAAATAGGTTGGCCTTTATCTCATTAAAAATAAAGGGGAATTGTAGATAAATTTTCCAAATGCGTAAGCACCTTACATAAAAGTTCAGTGTAATATACTATTATCTGTTTTCAGACAGATAGATTATAACATAATGTGTATTTTCTGCAGGCTCCTTTATGAAATATATTGTAAAACCACATCTTGACAGCTGTTTGCATTCATGTTTTGCGTAGTCTCTAATTTAATATTATGATTTTTGTCTTGAAAAGTAGTAAGGCCATAGGCTTGTGCAAAACAAATCTCAAATTTATAAATGTTTGGTATGTAATACAAAAATCAAGTATGTATGTAAAAATACTTGTGCCAGTCTGGAACTTTCAGGGGACTAATGCAGGATATTTGAAACAAGGGTGTTAAAAATAAACACAGTACATGGATAAATACAAAGTGTATCAATAAAGATAGTTAAGACATTTTAGCCTTCTTGGTTGTCTCCTGTGTGATATTTAAATTCTTCATTCTTTTCACAACCTTAAAAACATGCATTTTTTTCTTTATTAAGATGCGCTGTGGCTAATTGCACTACTGAAGGGGCAAGGTGGGCAAACCCCACCTTCACTGCTAACTGCGTGGGAAGGATGCGCATGAATCCAGTTCCCACCTGGAAGTGGACCTAGGCTTCACCGTCCCACATCTCCATTCCTCGTCACCAGCCACTTCTGTGGCACTTCCTCTCTTACCCTGACCGCCCAGAGTTAGGTCAGACTTTATCCCCAGCCACCCTGAGCCAGGTCATCGGGTACCAGTGGTAGGCTCAGGAGTCTGCATGATTCCCTGCACTTCTGACGAGCCAGCGCTTCCCTTTCCAGCCCCCTGGTCTAGGTCACAAGCTAGAAGAACTCTGTCCATCAGCTGCCTGTGTAGCCTTTCCCCTCAGCGGCTGCCCAGAGCTGGGGTCTTCACAAATCCACTGCCTTTGCAGCCATTCTCAGAAGTGACCACCCTGAGCTAAGTCAGAGTCCCATTGCCCCTTGTGGGTTCGTTCATTCTCTCTAGTGGTTCAAAAAATTCATGGAAACTGTTACCCATAATTACAGTTACCCATTTATTATAACCAGAAAGGATACAAGCGAAGTGTGTTTGTCTGGGCTCTAGGGGAGCCAAACCACTGAGACGTGCATATGTATAAACATAGAGATGTACTTCAAGGAAATGGCTCGCGCAGTTACGGAGACTGGCAAGTTCCAAATCCATAGGTCAGGCAACAGGCTGGAGACCTCTCCTGGCTCGGGATTGTGAGGGGCCCGCAAATCCAGAATCTACAGGTCAGGTGGCAGGCTGGGGACTTCTGCAGGTTTATGTCCCAGGAACCAAAGGTCAGGTGATGAGAAGAGTACAAGTTTGAGAGAGGGTGAGCTTTGCCAGAACATCCGTTTATATTGTGGAGGCAGGCCACACTGCCAAGGAAACTCCCCTTGTAACAAATTGGCTGCTCACATCAAGGAAGGTGATTATAACACATTTTGGAAGAACAACCAGTCCAAAAAATCCGTTGCCGTCAAGTCGATTCCAGCTCATAGCAACCCTATAGGACAGGGTAGAGCTGCCCCATAGGGTTTCCAAGGAGCGGGTGGATATGGATTCGAACTGCGCTACACCCGTCCAGTATCTGCCAAACCACTGAGAATCATAGCCTAGCCAAGTTGACACACAACATCATTTATCAGACAAGGTCTGGGAGAAGTCCCGGCACAGGGTCTCCGTTGTCCCCAGGGTTGGGCCACGCTCTCACCTGCATAGGTGTTCTCACGACTCTAGGAAGCCCCAAAAACAAGAGCTTCAAGGTCCAGGGTGCCTTAGTTGTTGGGTCCTCAATGCAAATGCATGACTCAGGCCTTAATGCATAGGGATGAGCTATCCAGTCAATGAATTTTCATGATCAACTGCATTGCCCCCTCCATTTCGGAGGGTTGTTGCCAGGATGGGTTTGCCATAGAGTGGATTCTGACTCTAGCGACCCCACAGGGTTTCCAAGCATGTAAATTTATTTGCACGCATTTAAGCGTTGTCTGGCTATTTTATAAAACAAAGGCCCCTTTATTGCTGGTAAATCCCAAGGGTGATTTTCAGAAACCAGAGACAGGCCAAACCAAGTTCTTTGTCCGACACATAAGATGCTGTGTTTTCCTTAGGTATTTGTAGGTGGCACAGAGTTTAAAGCGATCGACTACTGTCTTAGTCATCTAGTGCTGTTCTAACAGAAATACCACAAGTGGCTGGCTTTAACAAAAATAAATTTATTTTCTCACAGTCTAGTAGGCTAGACGTCCAAATTCAGGGCGTCAGCTCCAGGGCAAGGCTTTCTCTCTGTTGGCTCTGGAGGAAGGTCCTCGTTATCATCAGTCTTCCCCCCGGACTAGGAGCATCTCTGCGCAGGAACCTCGGGTCCAAAGGACGTGCTCTGCTCCCGGTGCTTCTTCCTTGGTAGTATGAGGTCCCAATTCTCTGCTTGCTTTCCTTTTCCTTTTATCTCTTGGAAAAGGTGGTGCAGGCCACACCCTAGGGAAACTCGCTTTACATTGAATCAGGGATGTGACCTGGGTAAGGGTGGTGTTACAATCCCACCCTATTCCTCTTTAACATAAAATTACAATCACGAAATGGAGGCAAACCACACAATTCTGGGAATCATGGCCCAGCCAAATGGATTCACACATTTTTTTGGGGACATAATTCAAGCCAGGACAACTACTAACCGGAAGGTCGGTAGTTCGAAACCACCAGCTGCTCTGTGGGAGAAAGATGTAGCCGGCAGCTTCGGTAGAGATTTACGTGCTTGGAAACCCCGTGGGGTTGCTAGAGTCAGAATCCACTCATTGCCAGCGGGTGTGTTTTTTTTGGTTATTAATGTTTAGGCTTCTTGGAGTTTTTGGGGTTAGAGGTTTACGGTTAGGGATTAAGGAGTTGGAGGGTTGGGTAAGGGTTAGGGTTAGGAGTTAGGGCTAGGGCTAGGGGTTAGGGGTTTGGGTTAGGGTTAGGGTTAGGGCTAGGGTTAGGGTTAGGGTTAGGGTTAGGGTTAGGGTTAGGG